CCTCTCTTTTCTTGGAGGATATGTCATTTGCGAAAATCAGTCTTATCTTATTAGGTACTAGCCCTCTAACAAGATAAAGGGCGGATGGGCCGAGCTAGTGCTTGGCAAGATAAGGCTGATATTGGCAAATAACATACATTCTAAGAAAATAACGGGCGGGTGGGTGGGGTTAGTACTTGCTAAGATAAAACTGATATTGGCAAATGGTATTCCCTCAAAGAAAATAAAGAGTAGGTGGGCGGGGTTAGAGGATATGTTATCTGCAAAAATCAGTCTTATCTTATCAGGTACTAACCCCGCCCAATGATCCGGGATCATTTTGTCTCAAGAAAAAGGGATCATTTCGCCTTAGCTAGCATATCCGCATTCAAAAATTGTAAACTAACCTTCAATTTTTACATGCGGTAAAAAGATCATAACTAACCTACGACTGAAATGTATCTAATTCTGTCAAAACAACTACCACCGCTATAAGACCTTTCAAATGGAAGTAATGGACTTTTAAAATATATCTTACCTTAGATCAGAGGTGCTTATTTTACATATTTTGGCACAAAACTGTGCAGAATACACAGAACGCCATCAAACTTTCAGAAGCTACTAATTACAGAGCGCTTAATCAAATGACAGTTATGTTTGGTAGATGGAGCCACAAATTTTATTACAATTGATGGGAATCATTTGACCTGAGGGGATCATTTTAGGCACTCTTCCCCTACTGAAAAACTGAAAAATGGAAGGAAAATTGAAAAATCGAAAAAATGAAAAAATTCAAAACTGAAATCTTGAAAAACTGAAAAATGGAAAGAAAATTGAAGAATCGGAAAAGTGAAAAAATCCAAAACTGAAACATTGAAAAATCCAGAAATCGAAAAATTGAAAAATCACAATTGAAGAAAGAATTGAAAAATCAAGAAATAGAGAAATGGGAAAATTAAAAAATCAGTTAATCGAAAAATTGAAAAATCGAAAAATTTAGAAACGTCAAAAATTGAAAACTGAAAATAAAAAAAATAAAAAATCGTAAACTGAAATATCGTAAAGTTAATAAACTGAAAAATTGAAAATTTTTGAAAAAAAAATCGTATCAAAAACTAAAAATTCAAAAAATCGAGAAATTGAACAATCAAAAAATCAAAACATTGAAATTCCAGTAAGTCGATAAATAGGAAAATTTAAAAAACAAAAATTTTAAAAATCCAAGAATTGAACAACAAAAAAAATCTAAGCCTGAAAACTCAGAAAATTAAATAATCGGGAACAAAAAATCTAAAATTTAAAAATTCGACAAATTGAAAAATCATGGAACTGAAAAATCTAAAAGTCGAGATAGTGAGAACTCTAAAAACCTAAAACTTTAAAAAAACTGAAAAATTAAAATATCGAAAAACTTAAAAACCGAGAAAACACAATATCAAAAATTTGAAAAATTGAAGAAATGAAATATTGCAAAATTCCAAAGCTGAAATATTGAAAAACCTAACAATGGAAGGAAAATTAAAGAATCGAAACAGTGAAAAAATCCCAAACTGAAACATTGAAAAATTGAGAAATGGAGAAATGGGAAAATCAAAAAAATTGGTCCAAAGATTTTAGACAGTATTTCCCTCGTTATCGGAAACGTAACGACTGCATGCCTATTATGTTTTTTTTTCACATTAGATTTCAAAGCATTCGGTTTTGTAGTTCCTGATTAAATCAATAAAATAAATTTGCGCATTCATTAAATTTTTTGAGTCACCCTGTATATCCGAATCCAAAAAAATATGAATGGAATGATACAATGACAAGAAGAGACTCATCATATTTTGTAAATTTTAAATGGAATTATGCGGCAAACTTTTGAGCTGACGTCATCAATTTTTTGGAGGGGATAAGCAAATATATTTTGATTAAAAATTTATTATGCTCTTCATAACCTTAAAACATTTGCAATATTTCAAAACATTGGGTTTTGTAGTTCCTGATTAAATCAATAAAATAAATTTACGCATTCATTAATTTTTGGGGTCATCGTGTACATGCAAATCCAAAAAACATGAATGGAGTGATAAATCACAAGAAGAGACTCATCATATTTGATACAATATAGATAGGATTTATTCAGCAAAATTTTGAGGTGATGTCATCAATTTTTTAGAGGGGATAAGTAAATATATTGTGATTAAAACGGTCTTGGTTTAATAACAAAAAAATATTGTTCGTCTATAAAACAAGCTCGTCTTAGACAAAGTATTCGTAAAAAAATATGTAGTAAAAAAATTTACGTATGCTGGTACCTACTGCGATTATGGTTTAAATATTTTTTAGAAAATCCTGTCATGGATGTAGAAACATTTGTGACAGCCAAAGAGGTTTTTTTGAGAAAATTATCTTTGAATTTAGACCAAATTGAAATAGACACTAGGCAACAGGCACATTTGGGCAAAAGAAAGAAAAATTAGGGTTACGGCTTCAAATTTTGGACGTATTTACAAACTTAGACCGACTACAGCAATAGCTAAAACTGTGGAGTCTCTGTTGTACAGTACATTTAGAGGTAATAGTCATACATACTATGGACAGCAAAGTGAGGAAAAAGCTGTCAAGTGTTTTGAAATAAATAAAAATATAAAAACTGAACGGTGTGGCTTGTTTATTTCAAAACAATTTCCTTATTTGGCTGCTAGTCCAGACAGGGTTCTAGAGGATAGAAGTGCATTAGTCGAAATTAAATGCCCTTCAAAATCGCAAGATTTGTCTCCCGAAGAAGCGGTTAGAAAAAAAATCTAATTTTGTACATTGACAGACAGAGAATTGAAACTAAAAAGAAAATTATGATTACTACTTACAAATGCTTGTTACGGGTATTTCACAAGTTTATTTTGTTGTATGGACACCCAAAGGAATAAATATAGAAAAATTTATAAAGACGAAGAAATATATGTAAAAAGATGGCAGATAAACTTGGCAGATTTTACTTTGGCGCATTATTGCCCGAAATAATTGATTCAAGAAGAAAGAGGAACCTGCTTTTGCGAGAGATTTTTTTGAAATAAATAAAATTTGTTTCTATTTTTTTATGTATTTTAATAATTTATTAGGAGTACATTTTTCATCACCAAGACTTGCATATTTTTATTATAAATATATTTTGAAAATGATCTCTCGGCAAATGAAAACATATACGAGCACTTTTTTCGAGTAAACAATGAAGGGAGAAGTTACTGGGCGTAGGGCTTTTTTAAAACACCTCCTTTCTTGGATAAGTAGTAGATATACTTAGCTACTTATACGTGTTAAACAAAAGCTGTATTTTATATATTTTTTATTATTATTATAAATATGTTTATTAATTTTATTAATTAATAAAGCAAAATATATATTAACAATAATATATTACAATGAATTTTTAGTAATCATGTGTATTGAATTTAGGATCCTGAGTGGAGTAAAAATATTATAGTTCCCCAGTTTTAATTCGGTTTTATGATAGTACCTCATTGCGTAAAAGTTAATTTCCTTAACAATAGATCACTACGGCCGGTCCTGGCGGCTTGTTATAAAACTGAGTTCCTTGCCATAAATTAGAAAAATCAGCCGAGAACGCTAACAATCAGCTTATGGTAGACCAGGCGATAAGGGTTTTACCTGGAAAGTCGCTTCCGTAATTTTAGTGGCGCTCTTATCGGCAAAGTACTGAACTAACTGCTCAAATTCTGTCGAATTGATACCCATTTTTTTCAATAATTGTTAGTTTTTGTTAAAAATTCTACTAACCAATAGATCATTAATTTTCCTCTGATATTCCTGTTAAAATTACTATTCGACGTATTTTGCATTAATTTGTGGTATATTTTAATTTTAATAAACACATTATTGTTTAAACAAATTGTACCACTAACAAACATTTAATGACTCTGCGCCCTGAAAAAAGTGATGTTTTATCCATGTGCGAATTTTCAAGCGATTCTATGATGGTTATGACTCAAAAAACGTGAAAAGAAAACATACAATGGTGCTTTTTTTACGATATTTCTCAGCTATATTTCTTTAATTGATTGAACTGGTCTCTGCGCTCTAGAATATGAAAAAAGCTGCAGTTTGATGTATGATACATCTATATTAATATCATTTTTTCATACAAAAAAACAAAAAAATGTTATACCTCGTCTAGCGAGTCCCCTTAAAACTCACTTTAAAATGATTGCTGATGCAATAGAACAATTAGAAATTATAGGTTTAAAATTAAACCAAAGTTTGGAAATTGTGGAAAAAGTGTATACATCTTTAAAAAACACATCAGGAAAGAGGTTTCTGCCTCTTCCATAGGGGTCTGTCCTTCTTGAGTCGACCTCTCGATCTCCTTAAGTTTCAGGTTGAAGGTCCGAAGTATATATTTATCTCTGTTATATTTAATATTGTGAATGCCAGTAAGTTAGGTATTTGAATAAATACGTCAAGTTTATTTAAATCGTTTAGTTTGCAATTTGGAATACGTCGATAACAGCGGGCTTTAAGTACACGAATAATAATTGCTAGTCGTGTATGCACCTGATTTGCTGAACATGTCTACTGTCGCACTGATTTTAATTGTATTGATTGGCTCGGATCTGGTCCTTGGTACGTTTAACTAAGTTGTTTTTGTCTGGTTCTCATTTCTGTTAGGTACTTGATAGTATAGTATTAAATTGAAAATTTTCAGCCGCCACAAAATGTGGAGAAAATCAAGTATGGAGTGACTGTGGAACAGCATGTCCACCAACATGTACCGAGAGTTCAAAGGGATGTGCAACGGTATGTGTAAAGGGTTGTCAGTGTAAATCAGGCTTTTTATTAAATGATAAAAACTCTTGTGTAGCTCCAGCCGATTGTTGAAAACATTGTTTAAATAAATGTTTCCTTCCCGAGAAGTATTTTTACATTACATTAATTAAATTCACAACTATATCACCCAGCAAAGTTGATTTGGAATCTACTTTACAGTTTCCACACGACACGTGTATAGTGTGTTGCATAACCCGCCACCATGGATTGTGTAACTGTAATTTGGCCTGTAAAAACAGTTGTGCCCCAAATTGCGGCAAAATTCAACGAATAAAAACACATTTTTTTCTTAAAAAAACATATAAAGGGCAAATTTAAGTCAACAAAAATTCTGTCAATGTCGGAACAAAAATCTTTTTTTTGAGGTTATGTCAGTGTCAAAAGAAGACACCCAATTATTTAATGATTAGGTAAGGAAACTCTGACTAAAAACGACTTTTATTTTTGACACCATCGTACTCTATTATTTCAGGTGGCAGAATGTCCACGTTGGACTATTCCGAGAAGTTTCTACGTCTGGCAGCCCCCCGAAAAAGTGTCCATCGTTGCAAAATTTGCCTCTACTTTACCACGTCCTTTTTTCTCCTGATGAACCACATCAAGAGACACCGCTCATCTGTCCTACCTTTCAACTGTGAAAACCCCATAGCGGAAACCTACTTCTGCAAAGACTGTAACTTCCAGACCGAACTAACACTGTTATTCAAACTCCATATCCGTGAATGTCACACCGTTAAAAAAGAAAGCGAGGAGGATTCGAGTGACGTTTACACCATTAAAACCTACGTCTGCAAAAAGTGCGCCTTTGAAACACAGTTCTCAATCAAGTGGCTTCGTCACTCCAGAACATGCACAAAAAATAGAAAAAAATCCTACAAAAAAACTAAAAAAAGTGGAAATGTTACGTGCTACAGTTGCGATTTATGTGAATTCAAAACTAAGTACAAGTTTACATTAAGTATACACAAAAGTTTAAAACACTTAGACAATTATAAAATCCGTTGGCACCACTGCGCTAATTGTTCATACAAAGCTAAGTACCGATTCAGCCTAAAAAGACACATCATCGCCCACCATTTAGACGAAAGCGAAATTAAATGGTACGAATGCCAAAAATGCCCCTATAAAGCCAAAGAGCGCTGCAATCTAAAAAGACACATAAACGACCAACACCTGGACGAAAAAGACATCAAATGGTATGAATGCAAACATTGCCCATACCGAGCCAAGCAAAACTCGGCTTTAAAAAGCCACATCAACGTGAAACATCTAGAAGGGCAGCTGGGTAGAGGCTACGGGTGCAAAAAGTGCCCGTACAAAGCTGGAAGCAACTCTAACCTAAAAAGACACATTAATGCCCATCATTTGGACGACAAAGACGTCAAGTGGTACAACTGTGAAACGTGTTCATACAAGGCTAAACAAAGGTCGTCTCTGCGGAGACACATAATTGCGCATCATTTGGAGGAGCAGGAGATTAAATGGTACCAATGTGAGAAGTGTCCATACAAAGCTAGACGAAAAAACCATTTGAAAGATCACATGAGTGCGCGGCATTTGGACGAGCAGGATATTAAATGGTACAAATGTGAGCAGTGCTCGCATAAGACTAAGCGGAATTCTGATTTGAAAAAACACGTGATTGCGCGACATTTGGACGAGCATGATGTTAAGTGGTATGAATGCAAAGAGTGTCCATATAAAGCTAAGGATAGTTTGCATTTGAAAAGGCACCTGAAGGCGCATCATTTGTTTGAACGGGATGGTAAATAGTTGGGTGGTTTTTCCTGAATTTTGTGATGTTGTTTGTGATATAGGGCTAATTTTGACCAGATTGTACGTGATTGTGGGTTTCAAGAATCGTGAGTTAGTGTCAGCTTGTAATAATTTATTGTAAAGACATTTTTAAAATGTTTGTTCGCAAGTTATGTACCTGAAAGTAGGGTAATACGTTTGAGAAACACGAATTTAAATAAATGTTAAATTATCTCAGAATTGTTTTCTTAAAGAAAGAAGAAAAATCTCACTTGAAACATTTTATCTATACTTAAATTTTAACGTACAAAAAAATTAAATTCGCAAAATTAAAGTTTATAATTTATTTAAAAAACTAAACCTCTTCATTGATATTTAGGTCGTTTTTTTTTGTTTTTCTTACGCAACCTTTAGAACCCATTAATTAAAAATTTAATTATGCTGTTTTCGTTTGCTAGCTGATTACAAAAACTATTAAGTTAACTTGTTGACTGTGTTACCAAAAGTTGTATAGGTTTTTACTTATTGACCGTAATCAGTACATCGGGCGACTGGCTGCTTTCATGTTTTCCCGATGTTTTGTGACCCATACAATACGAAAAAATAGGTCTGCCGTTTCTGTCTGTCTGTCCGCTGTCTTTGTCGATTTTTATTATCTAGATATTATCCGGAGTTACTGGACAGACTGTTGTCATTTTACAGATAAATGTTATTTAAATTTTATTAAATAATATACTCCTCTATTTGTGGTTAACGAATCCGTGGGATTCAGTTTTTTGGAAAAAATATAACACCTCAGGAATTAACACAATTTTCTCGAATAAATGTTATTTAAATGTTAAAAGGTAACATACATAGTCCTGAACTTGCGATTTATGATTCCATGTTAAATTTTCATCTTATACATCGAGATTTTTGGAAAATAAATCAAGATTGTGGAACAATTTTTCGGATTTTTGATTTTTCGGCTTTTCGATTTCTCGATTTTTCACTTTCCGATTACTCAATTTTACGATATTTCTAAATTCTCGATGTCTCGATCATATTTGTCCATACATCAATTTTGGGCTTTTTCAATTTTTCGATTTAATGAATTTTTCAGTTTTTGGGGTTTCTAAATTTTCCATTTCTCGATCTATGGATGTTTCAATTTTTCCATGTTTCGACTTTTCAATTGCTCGATTTCCCAATTTTTCGAGAATTCAGTTTTGGGATTTTTTTAATTTCTCGATTTTTTAATTTTCTGAATTTTCAATTTTACGATTTTCGAATTTTTCGATTTTCCAATTTTTCGATTATTAAAATCTCTGCTTTTCGATAGTTCAGTTTCTCGATTTTTATTTTTTCGATTCCTCGATTTTTCGATTTTTCTGAATTTTCGGTTTTGGAATTTTTATATTTCGGTTTCTTAATTTTTCAGTATTTCCGTTTTACGAGTTCCAATTTTTTTTATTTTTGGCTTTTCAAAATTTTAGATTTCTTAATTAATGGCTTGTTCGACTTTTCAATTTCTCGATTTTTTTAATTTTTGCTTTTAAATTTTTCGATTTGGAAAATTTTCGCTTTTTCCACTTTTCGATATCTCGATCTTTCAATTTGTCGACAGTATAATTATTCTACTTAAGAATAGAAACTTCAGTTTTTCGAATTTTTATTTTTTAATTTCTGTCTTAAAAATTTTCGATTTTTCAATATTTTTTTTGATTATTTGAATTATCGATTTTTTTTTCATTTAAAATTTTTCAATTTTTAATTTTTTTGTCGATTTTATGCTATTACGATTTGCTGATTTTTCGATTTTCGATGTTTTGACTTTTCAATTGTTTGATTTCCCATTTTTTCGAGAATTCAGTTTTGGAATGTTTGCATTTAGCTATTTTTTAATTTTTTAATATATCAATTTTACGATTTCTGTACATCTCGGTTTGCGATTTAAAAAATTTTTCGATTTTTCAAGTTATCGCTTTTTCAACGTTTTGGTTTTGCAATTTTTTCAGTTTTTAAAATTTTAGATTTTTCGATCTTCTTGATGTTTCGATTGCTCGATATTTCGATTTTTCGTTTTGTTGGATTTCGAAATTTCGATTTTTCAATTTCCGTTAATTAAAATTTTTTGTTTTTCGATTTTTCAATTTTTCGATTCTAGATATTTTTTTTCGGTTTCTTAATTTTTCAGTATTTCCGTCTCACGATATCTTATTTTCCGATTTTTCTTTTTTTTAATTTTTGGGATGTGTAAATTTTAGATTTCTCAAGTAATCGATTTTTCGACTTTTAGATTTTTGGATTTTTTTACTTTTCAGATTTTAGATTTATCGGTGTTTCGGTTGCTCGACGTCTCGATTTCTCTCTCTCTCTCTTCTTGAAATTTTCGATTTTTCGGGTTTTGTTTTTTAAATTTTTCGATTTTTAAAATTTTCGATTTTTCACCTTTTTGATTCCCCGATTTTTTAATTTCTCGATTCTTCCATTTGTCGACATTATAATTATTCTAATTTTTAACTTTTAAATTGTTCGATTTCTCGATTTTTCGATTTTTCAATTGTTCGATTTCCCAATTTTTCGAGAATTCAGTTTTGGGATTTTTCAGTTTCTCAATTTTTCAGTTTTTCGATTATTAAAATTTTCACGATTTAATTTTAATTTTTGATATTTCAATTTTGCGATTTTTAAAATTTCTCGATTTTTTGATTTTTCAAATTGCCGATTTCTCAGTTTTTCAACATTTTAATTTTGGCAGTTTTTCAATTTTTGAATTTTTTGATTTTGAAGTTTTAGATTTTTCGATTTTTTGATGTTTCGGTTGCTCGATATTTCGATTTTTCCACTTTTTGAAATTCGATATTTCGATTTTTCAATTTTTCGATTATTAAAATCTTCGATTTTTGGAAAAACAAAGTTTTCGATGCTTCAATTTCTCGATTTTTTTATTTTTTGGTTTTTAAATTTTTCAGTATTTCCGTTTTACTATTTTCTATTATACTATTTTATTTTTTTTTATTTTTGACCTTTCTAAATTTTCGATTTCTCAGTTAATCGATTTTTCGACTTTTTGCCCTTCGGCTTTAGATTTTTCGATTTTCAAAATTTTCCATTTTTCCACTTGTCGATTTCTCGATCATTCAATTTTTGGATTCTTTAATTTGTCGACATGATAATTTTTCGACTTTTTAACTTTTACATTTCCGTTTTATCGAATTTTTGATTTTTCAGTTTTTCGAATTTTTAATTTTCTTAATTTTTTAATGTTCGGGTCTTTAAATTCTTCGATTTCGTGATTTTTTGGTTTTTCAATTTTTTTTTTGATTATTCGATTTATCGATTTTTTAAACTTTAAATTTGATTTTTCCCTTTTTCCGATTTATTGATCTTCCAAATGTTCGATGTTTCGACTTTTCAATTGTTCGATTTCCCAATTTTTCGAGAATTCAGTTTTGGTATTTTTCAATTTCTCAATTTTTCAGTTTTTCGATTTTTAAAATTTTCACAATCTTCGATGTTTGGATTTGGCTTTTTTTAAATTTTGGATATTTCAATTTTACGATTTCAGGACATATCGGTTTTGCGATTTTAAAAATTTTCCGATTTAAAAAGTTTTCATTTTTTAGTTGTCCAACATTTCAATTTTGGCAGTTTTTCAATTTCTGCATTTTTCAATTTTTCTGTTTTAATTTTTTGATTTTTTTAATTTTAGATTTTTTTTTTTTGATTTTTGGACTTCTATATTTTGGTTTTTCGATTTTTCATTTATTAAAATCTATTATTTTTAGATTATTAAAATCTTTGAGTTTTGTATTTCAATTTCTTGATTTTTTAATTTTTCGATTCTTCGATTTCTCGATTTTTTAAATTTTCAATTCTGATTTTTTTAATTTTTCGGTTACTCAATTTTTGAGTATTTCCGTTTTACGTTTTCCGATTTTTTTCAGTTTTTTAAATTCTGGCTTGTTTATATTTTCGATTTCTCAATTAATCGATTTTTCGTCATTTCGGCTTTTACATTTTTCGATTTTTGATTTTTCCATTTCTTGATTTCCGGAGTTTTCGGTGTTCTGACTGGTCGACGTCTCTCGATTTCTCGATTTTTCAGGTTTTGGATTTTCAATTTTTCTATTTCTAAAATTTTCGATTTCTCAATCTTTCAGTTTGTCGATATCATAATTTTTTGACTTTTCAACTTTTACATTTTCCGATTTCTCGATTTTCGGTCTTTGAATTTTTCGATTTCATTTTTAAATTATTGATTTTTCAATAATTTTTTTGATTATTCGATTTATCTATTTTTACTTCCCGAGCGTAAGCAAAGGAAGTATTGTAATCGAGTCTGTCGGCCGACTCTCTACTTTTACGTTTTCTCGATCTTTCATGACCCCTAGAAGACGAAGAAATAGGTCTCCCATTTCCGTCTGTCTGTCCGTCTGTCCGTCTGTCCGTCCGTCTGTCCGTCCGTCCGTCTGTCCGTCTGTCCGTCTGCCCCCGGATTTTTATTAGACAGATAATCTCCGAAAGTACTCGACGGATTGTTGTGAAATTTTGTACTTATATTAAGAATATCATGTAGATGGTAAAACGCTAACCAAAATTTGTCTAATCATCCCCACCACTAATGCGATGACGTCACTTCAAAATTGTACATAGTAAATGGGTTTTCAATTGTATAAAATAACATAGTCCTACACATGTAGTTTACAACTCCGAATCGACTTTTCACCCGAAACGTCCAGATTTTTGCAAAAAAAATCAAAATTATAAAACAACATTTTGAAATTTAATTTTTAATCTGCTAACCAGAATGCTTTGAAATGTTGCAGATGTTTTAAGGCTATAAAGAGCATCATAAATCTTTAGTCAAAAAATATTTGCTTACCCCCTCCAAAAACTTGATGACGTCAGCTCAAAAGTTTGTGGAATAAATCATATCTAAAATGTACAAAATATGATGAGTCTGTACTTGTGATCTATCACTCCATTCATATTTTTTGGATTTGCATATACAGGGTGACTCAAAAAAATTAATGAATGCGTAAATATATTTTATTGATTTAATCAGGAACTACAAAACCGAATGCTCTGAAATCTTGCAGATGTTTTAAGGTCATAAAGAGCATAATAAATGTTTAGTCAAAATATATTTGCTTATCCCCTCCAAAAACTTGATGACGTCAGCTCGAAAGTTTGCCGAATAAATCATATCTAAAATGTACAAAATATGATGAGCCTGTACTTGTCATTTATCACTCCATTCATATTTTTTGGATTTGCATATACAGAGTGACTCAAAAAAATTAATGAATGCGTAAATATATTTTATTGATTTAATCAGGAACTACAAAACGGAATGCTCTGACATCTTGCAGATGTTTGAAGGTTATAAAGAGCATAATAAATGTTTAGTCAAAATATATTTGCTTATCCCCTCCAAAAACTTGATGACGTCAGCTCGAAAATTTGCCGAATAAATCATATCTAAAATGTACAAAATATGATCAGTCTGTACTTGTGATCTATCACTCCATTCATATTTTTTGGATTTGCATATACAGGGTGATTCAAGAAAATAAATGAAAGCGTAAATTTATTTTACTGATTTACTCAGGAACTACAAAACCGAATGCTTCGAAATCTTAAAGATATTTTAAAATTATCATAAGCATGGTAAATTTTTGATCAAAATGTATTTGGTCGTCCCCCCTAAAAAATTTATGACGTCACCACAAAATTTTGCTGAATATATCCTATCTAAAATGTACAAAATATGGTGAGTCTCTTCTTGTGATTTATCATTCCATTCAAATTTTTTCGATTTGCATATACAGGGTGACTCAAAAAAATTAATGAATGCGTAAATTAATTTTATTGATTTAATCAGGAACTACAAAACCGAATGCTTTGAAATCTTGCAGATGTTTTAAGGTTATAAAGAGCATAATAAATTTTTAGTCAAAATATATTTGGTTATCTTCTACAAAAAACTGATGACGTCAGCTCAAAAGTTTGCCGAATAAATCGTATCTAAAATGTACAAAATATGATGAGTTTGTACTTGTGATTTATCATTCCATTCATATTTTGGATTTGCATATGCAGGGTGACTCAAAAAAATTAATGAAGGCGTGAATTTATTTTATCGATTTAATCAGGAATTACAAAACCGAATGCTTTGAAATCTTGGGAATATTTTAATGTTATTATAAGCATGGTAAACTTTTGTTCAAAATGTATTTGTTCATCCCTCCTAAAAAAATTGATGACGTCACCCTTAAATTTTGCTGAATAAATCCTATCTAAAATGCAAAAAATATGATGAGTTTGTACTTGTGATTTATCATTCCATTCATATTTTTTAGATTTTCTTAAGAGGTGGTTCACAAAAATTAATGAAGTCAATTTATTTTATTGATTAAATTAAAGGCAACACTTATTATTAGTATTACACCCCAACCAACCCAATTTGGTAGACACAAAATTTGTTAAAGGAAAAACTCGGTTGAAACATAAGGGTAGCATCGCTTATTTACATCGACTTTAACATTACAGACCTGCATTTGTTTTATGCGATCACTTGGTTCCGCGAATGTGAAATAGACATGTTTATAATCAACCAATTGTGAATTTCACCGTCAAGAATTAAAATAAAACCCAATGTTTTATATAATAAGCGGAAGTCGAAGCAATAAAACCGATGGTCGTTTTGTTTACAGTTTCTCTGTTTGACTTTCACGTATGCTGTTACGCTTGTCATCTTAAATTAAGAATGTTTATACATAAACGATTTTCAGTTGCCGTATACGCGAGTAAATTGTTTCGTTATTTTATTGATTATAAAAAATCAATATTCAAAACGACCCAATTCATTTTCCCGAAAATTTGGGAATACAATAATTTTATTCTTAGTATTACACTACATCTATCCCAACTGATATACGTGTCCTTGCAAAAATGTTGATGACGTCATCGCAATTTTTTTTAAATTCCCACTACAAAAATGTAATGAGAAAAAAAACACAATAGCCATGCAGTCGTCAAGTTTCCGACAGCGAGGGAAGTACTGTCTAAACTCTTTAGACCAATTTTTTTAATTCAATGTTTTTCAAAGTTTCTTTTTAATTTTTCGATTTGTTGATTTACTGCTATTTCGATTTGTTAATTTTTCGATTTATGGTTCTTCTAATTTTTCGATGCTTCGATTTTTCAATAATTGTTCGATTTTCCAATTTTTCGAAAATTCAATTTTGGGATTTTTCAATTTCTCAATTTTTCAGTTTTTCGATTCAATTTTTTTCACAGTTTTTGATGTTTGGATTTAGCTATTTTTTATTTTTTGATATTTCAATTTTATGATTTCTGGACATCTTGGTTTTTTGATTTTTCAACATTTCAATTTTGTAAGTTCGTTCTGGATTTTGCAGTTTGTCCATATTTTAATTTATCGATTTTTTAGATCTAGAAAGAAAACCCACTTCGTTGTGGAATTATAGCAAGAGTAAAATTTTAATAAATTAAATTATGTCAATATTAAAAAAAAACATGAAATTAGATATTAGTCCATTTTACCATTATATATTTTTTATTTTCTGTAGTTTATATTCGAGGACTATAAAATATTTTATAAAAAATAATCTAGTAATGAATAATTAGTACACCACATTTCTATCCCTAAAAAATCTGCCGCATATTATACTTTCTATTTAATTACGCCCCACACTAAATTATTCATTCATTCAAGTTAATGATTAAATCAAATAGTTGTATGGTTCTTTTTTATATCCTAATGCGACGCTGCACGTAATTACCATTGTTAATGCAGATATTAACTATTTAAACATTTTTCCACCACAGTACACTTTGTTTAATTAAACGCAACACCAATTACACCCATCCTCCAGCACCCACAATTACGATAACCATCAAACACCAACCATTAATTAAAAACCGCATCACTCCGTCATTACATGTTCCATTCAAAACCATGTCTCTAAAATCGTTCCTCTTCATCCTCCTCCACCTCAGCACCAGCCACTCGTCTTTCGTAAGTAACCCCAAAACCGCTTCCCCATCTTCACCACTTTCTTCCAGATGAGACACAAATACGTCGTCAACATAGAAAGCGGTTCCTTGTGTCCAGACAACGACAAACTCGAAGTACCAATGAAAACGTTCCGCGTGGACAGACTCAACCGCACCCATCGGGTCCTCAACGTCGACTTTACTTTCGCCGAACCATTGGACGACACCGCTGAAGGTACTTTATGGATGGATAAATGGAGCAACGGCAAGTGGATCAACATGCCGTTTTTGCCTTTTCAGAAAGATCCCTGTAAATGTGCTATGACTATGTCGCCTCCGGCGATGATTTCCATGTGGGTGGAAATGGAAAAGGCTATGGGTATTAGGAATCCAGGGAAGTGTCCCGTGGCGGCTGGCAACTACACCATGAGGAATTACGTGATTGATATGACGTACGACGTCCCGTTTTTTAGTGGCAGGTTTCGGGCAACTCCGATGTTTCGGAGGATTGCCACCAAGAAGAAGATTTTTTGCGCGAATGTTATCATGACGTTTTCGGAGTTAATGAATTAGGATACGTTATTTGATTGCCCCAAATTATACCCATTGAAAAAATAAAAGGGGACTCATTAACCACGGGTTTATTTACTTATAATGAGGTAGTTTGTCGATAGCAACGACAATGCGTACTATATATTTGCGATAAGTCTACAGATAAGCGACTACTTTAAATAATATAATGCATTTTGTTTAGTTTTTCGCCGTAATAAATTACTTTAACTCACGTCAACAAACTATAATGTTTCAAAACAAGAAAAAGAAGATTGTCATTAGTAACGTACTTGAAGATGTTCACCCCAAAGACAACTCAAACTTTCTTTCACACTTCTTCTTTTGGTAAATAATTAAAGCTTTCACTTAGACAATTTTCATGACGATGCAATTTCAGTTGGCAGCTACAAACCCTCTTCAAGGTTTCGAAAAACCGAAACGTTGACGATAAGTTCACAATCCCGGTAGAAGCACAAGAGTCACGACAACTAGGAGAAAAATTTGAAAACACGTGGAATCGGGACAAGAACCCTTCACTGATGAAAACCTTGGTAAAAATGTTCGGGCTCGAGTTTGCGTTGTGTGGTTTAATTTACTCGATTCCTGAGTTGTTGTCAACGTAGGACAACAAATTGTCATCAATTTTTGCCTACCCTGACTATTCTAGGTTTCTGCAGCCGGTGTATCTAGGTAAATTATTAGAGTACTTTTTACACGAAACACCAACTACCCAAAACCAGGCCTTCGTCTATGGACTAATTATTGTAACATCTGTGGTTCTTCGGGTACTCAGTTTCCAATTCTACATGATGGAAGCGTACTCCATTGGTTTGAAAGTACGCACAGCGTGTTCTTCTCTCATCTACAGAAAACTCCTCAGGTTTAAAATTTTGACCAAACAGAAAATTGCTTTAGGACAACTTATCAACATGTTGTCTAATGATGTTGAAAAGTACGAATTTGCAACCGGTTTTTTTCACCGCATGTGGATTGCCGTGTTAAAACTAGCTATAGGTACAACTCTACTGTCATTATCGTCTGGTCTAAAAGGAGTTGCCGGAATCGCAGTACTAGGACTCATTATTTTCTTCCAATGTTAGTCTATCGTTGCTACCTTTCTCATCTACCAAGCACTTTGTTTCAGGTTTCGTATACAAAATAGCCGCAACTCTTAGAACACAAATAGTTAAAGAAAGAGACACCCGGATATCTCTAATGAACGCCATTATTTTTAGAATGCAAGCAATCAAGATGTACGTTTGGGAAAAACCCTTCGCACAGTTGGTACAAGCAGCCAGAAAAGCCGAACTTGATCACATCTCTAAACAGAGCTACATTTTCAACGAAAACTTCACCTTCTTCTTCTACGTTAACAAAATATCCATCTATGTGTTCATTTTGTTATTGATTGTTAGTGGTACCCCTCTAGATCCAAAAGTTGTCTTTATGACCATGAATATTTACAATTTACTTATTTTGGCGGTCAAAGATTTGATGATTGGGGCGATTCCGTTGTCAGAAATGAAAGTGTCGACGGGGCGGATTCAAAAATTTTTATTCTTGGATGAAGATCATGACGAAAACCCAGAAACTAATCTGGGGGACTATAGAATAGTCGCGAGGAAAGTGGCAGCTAAATGGGACCCACTAGGTGACGTGGGGTTGACTAATATAGATTTTAAACTCCGAAGGGGTGAATTGGTAGCCCTTGTAGGTGCTATTGGTAGTGGTAAAAGTTCTTTAATTTATACAATTTTGAAAGAGTTGCCTATTTCAAGTGGTACTTTGTCTAGCGAGGGTTTAATATCGTATGCACCACAAACTCCATGGGTGGTTCCAGGAAGCATCCGAGACAATATTACTTTTGGGGAAAGGTTCGACAACCAGAAGTATCTCAAGGTTCTTAGAATGTGTGCTTTAGAACACGACATATCTCGGTTACCACATGGAGACAACACATTAGTAGGAGAAAGAGGAACCTCGTTGAGCGGAGGTCAAAAAGCTAGAGTTAGCTTAGCACGAGCTGTATATAAAGACGCAGACATCTACCTTCTAGATGATCCTCTAGCGGCTGTAGACACATCTGTAGCCCAGACAATTTTCACCCAGTGCTTTCTCAACCACCTAAAACATAAAAGCATAATCCTGGTCACGAGCCAGTTGAAATTTTTGAAAAACGTAGACAGAACATATGTTCTAGAAGACGGAAAAATCAAAGATTGTGGAATATATGAAGCTCTAGTTGACGCTTCGTTACAAAATGAATCTAGAATGTCGCAAACTTCTGAAACCAAGTTAGAAAAGTACACCAAACAGTCCGAAGTTAAAGAGGACGTTGGTAATAGCACTACCAACACATACAAAACTTATTTGTTTCTTGGAAAACCCAAGCTCTTTATTTATTTGCAGTTGTTCCTTTTCGTCACGAGTCAAGCTTTTCTTAATGGGTCAGACGTGTTTTTATCTTTCTGGATTAATTTTAAAGGACCTTCCAGTGCTAACGAGTACAACCGTTTGTACATATATAGCGGATTTGTGTTGGTTGCGGCGCTTCTGTACCACTTCACCTCTTGGAGTTTTACAAAATGTTGCAAGCAGTCATCCATAAAACTACATGACACACTCTTCAACAAAATTTTACATTGTTCGATGAAATTTTTCAGTGACCATGATTCTGGACGAATTATCAACAGAGTGTCAAGGGATATGGCAATCGTGGATGAGTATGTTCCTATATATATGTATCAAACCATCCGACTATTGTGTGTTTTGTTGGGGGTTTGTTGCGTAGTGATTGTCATGAACTACTACGTAATTTTTCCAACGGTAATCCTGTGGGTGATTTTTTGCTACTATTTACGAAATTTCCAACCCGGGCTCAACAGTCTCAAAAAAATTGCAGTCACACGTACGTGCTTCTAGAATCAACAGCAATAATTTTAATTCAGTTTTTAGGAAAAAGTCCGCTTTTTACTCACGTGGTTGCTACTATGGAAGGCTTGACGACGATCAAAGCACTAAAAGCTCAAACTCATTGTCTGTCGAAATTTGAAGACCACCAAAACCGTTATAACTCAATCGGGTATTTGTATCAATCCCTGTATCACGCATTCAACTTCTGGATTGATTTTGCCTGCATGCTGTACATAGCGGTGGTCATTTTTTGTCTAATAATCGTCAAACAAGGTACACCAACGAAGAACAAGTGTCAATTTCTTTGTGTTTTCCTTTTCTAGATGGATTAGTTGGAAATGTGGGATTATCAATCACGGAAACATTATTACTGATTGCGTCTGTTCAAGCCACCATGAAATTCTACAACGATCTTGATCTACAAATGATTTCAGTAGAACGGGTGGCTGAATATGGTGACCTGATTGTAGAAGAGGACGAAGGCACTCTCATCCCTCCACCATCGTGGCCCAGTGCAGGCCAAATTCAATTCCAATCCTTGTCCATGCGATATTCACCCGAAAAACCCTACGTTCTCAAAAATATAACCATCGAAATCCAACCTGGTGACAAAATAGGCATCGTTGGTAGAACTGGTGCCGGAAAGTCGTCCCTCATTTCCACCCTTTTTCGTCTATACGATTTCGAAGGAACCATCTACATCGATGGTGTTAACACCAAACTCATACCTCTGAGTACCCTTCGAACTAAAATAGCAGTGATTCCGCAAGATCCGGTTCTCTTCGCCGGTACCATTCGTACTAACTTAGATCCACTTGAAGAGTTCACCGATAACCAACTATGGAGTAGTTTGGAGGAAGTGAATTTGAAAACGACAATTTCAAATCTGCCTTCAGGTTTAGACAGTCCTATTTTGGAAAGTGGTTCCAATTTTAGTGTAGGGCAAAAGCAAATTTTGTGTTTGGTGAGGGCCGTCTTGAAGAGGTCTATGGTGGTGGTTCTTGACGAAGCCACGGCTTTTGTGGATTTGGAAACTGATAAGTTGATTCAAGCTACTATTAAGAAACGGTTTCAACAATCAACGGTTTTGAAAATCGCTCATAGGTTGGACACTGTGATGGATTCGAACAAGATTTTGGTGATAGATGATGGGTGTGTTGTGGAATTTGGGAGGGCGGAGGAGCTTCTGAGAAATAGTGAAGGGTACTTGTATAAATCTGTGTATGAAGGTTGATTAAGTTGTGCTATGTAGTGCAGGGTTAATAAAATAATGTAAATATATATGAATGAATGAAAAAGTAGGGAAAAGTAGAAGAGTAAGCATATATTTGATAAATATAGGTCCGAATACACGCACTGTTGGTTGTTTAACAAGAACAATAACATTTTAAAAACTTTTCCACCACAATACTCTTTGTTAAATAAAACGTAAACACCAATTATTCTTATCCTCAACATCACAATTACGATAACCACCTAACACCAAATCACCGATTTAAATCCTTTGAAAAATAAATCACTCGCTCATCACACGTTCCATTCAGTATCATGTCCCTAAAATTGTTGCTCTTCATCCTGCTCCACCTCTGCGTCATCCACTCGTCTTTGGTAAGATAGCCCAAACCCTCTCCATATCTTCACCATTTTCTTCCAGATGACACACAAATACGTCATTGACATAGAAAGTGGTACCTTGTGTCCAGACAACGACAAATTGCCTTTTCAGAGAGATCCGTGTACTAAGGCTATGGCTGTGTCGCCTACGGCGATGATACCGATGTTGGTGGGAATGCAGAAGTCTATGGGTTTTAAGAATCCAGGAAAGTGTCCGTTGGAGGTTGGGAATTATACCATGAGAAATTACGTGATCGATTTGACGTATGAGGTCCCGTTTTTTAGTGGTAGGTTTCGGGCAACTCCGACTTTTCGAAGAATTGCCACCAAGAAGAAAATTTTTTGCGCGATTATGATCATGACGTTTTCGGAGATAATAAATTAAGATACGTTGCTTAATTCCCATTAGAAAATAAAAGCAGACTCATAAATCACAGGTATGTTTATTTATAACGCGGCAGTTTGGCAATAGCAACGTCAATGCGTATTATTTGCGATAACATTCTACAGATAAGCAAATAGTTGAATAATTCTATCGTTGCATTTTATTTACTTTTTACGCCTTAATACAATATTTTAACAAACTCTGATGTTTCAAAACAAGAAAAAAAAATCATTAACATAGATCTGAAGATGGTCACCACAAAGACAACTCAAAATTCTTCTCACACCCCTTCTTTTGGTAAATAATTAAACCCAATTTCATTTGGCAACTATGTGTAAACTCTCTTCAAGGTTTCGAAGAACTAAGACTACGAAGCAAATTTGAAAGCACATGGAATCGGGACAAGAAAATGAAAGTGGGATTTAAAAACTTGCTGCTGACGTTGAAGTTGCCGCTGACGTTGCTTTTAGAGGTGAAAATTGTCATTTATAAACTCCGCTGCCAAGTTGCCGTTAGTACAAAAATTTACCATTTTACACATGTTTTAAGTTTCTTGTTGCCGAAATAAGTCTACACATATTAAGGAAAAAAGGCAAAGTATAAGCCCCGCCCACCCACCCTGTCCCAATTGTGATGATTTTTTTATTCGTCGTGAGCCAAGAAGTTCGAGCTTAACTGCAAAATCCGTATTTCTCTACGAGAAATGAAAAACATGTTTTGAATATCGTGTTGTTCAAGAGAAGAAAGAAAAAGCCCAAGATTACGCCCCACCCATACCCGCCCCGATCTCAATTCTTAATTGTGATGAATTTTTCAGTCGAGGGGCGGAGCTTAATTGCAAAATCCATATTTACCATTGTAAACATGTTTTAAATTTCTTGTTCTAGAAATTCAACTACGTATATTAAGAAAAAAGCCAAAATATAAGCCCCACCCACGTTGTTTCAATTGCGATGATTTTTTTAATCGTCGAGAGCCAAATCAGCGGAATTTAATTGCAAAGTCCTTATTACGAGATATATTTCTCTACAAGAAATTTTCATGTAAGACATGTTTTTAAGTATCGTGATATTCAAAGAATACTAGGCACATATATTAAGAAAAAATTAAAGCCAAAGATTAAGTCTTACCCATACCTGCCCTGATCTAAATAGTAATGAAGTTTTCGTTCGTTGGCAGACCTACGGGCGGAGCCTAATTGCATGATCCAAATTTAATACAAAAATTTACCATTTTAAACGAGTTTTAAGTTTCTAAGAATAAAAAAGCATTACAATTGAGATGGGGTGGGTGGGCCGGGTTTATATTTTGTCTTTTTTTCTTTATGTACTTACATAGTATTCTGTGAACAACACCATACTCAAAAACATGTTTTACATTTCTTATGAAGGAATAAATATTTTGGAGTTAAGCTCCGCCCTCTTGGTTCACAGCGAATAAAAAAAATCATCACAATTGAGATGGGGCGGGTGGGTGGGGTTTATATTTTGCCTTTTTTTATATACATGGTATTCTTTGAACAACACGATACTCAAACATGTTTTAAATTACTTATACAGAAATCAGTATTTTGCAGTTAAGCTCCGCCTCCTTGATTTACGGCGAATCAAAAAAATCATCACAATTGAGACAGGGCGGGTGGGCGGGGTTTATATTTTGCCTTTTTTTACATACATAGTATTCTTTGAACAACACGATACTCAAAAATTTGTTTTAAATTTGTTATAAAGAAATAAGTATTTTGCTGTTAAGCTGCGTTCCCTTGATTCACGGCGAATAAAAAAAAATCATCACAATTGAGACAGGGTGGGTGGGCGGCTTTTAAATTTTTCATTTTTGTTTTAATATGTGCAGACTTATTTTCACAACATGAAACTTAAAACATTAGGCTCCGCTCCATAATTACAAAATCTATATTTCATTGCAAAAATGTACCATTTTAACCATGTTCTACGTTTCCTGTTGTGAAAAGATGGCTAAGTATAATAAGAAAAAAGTCAAAATATAAGCCCCGCCCACCCGCCCTATCTCCATTCGGATGATTTTTTTTATTCGTCGTAAGCCGAAGAGCGGAGCTTAATTCTAAAACCCCTATTTTTCTACGAGAAATTACCATGTGAAGTATTCTTAAGTAATGGTGTTATACAAAGTAAACTAAATGTATTAATTAAAAAAGAAAACCGAAGAGAAGTCCCACCCATCCATCTCGATTTCAATCCTGATGAATTTTTTATTCGTTGTTAGACCGAGGGGCGGAGCGTAATTGCAAAATCGATATTTCTTAAATGTTGTTGATTTAAACGTCGAGAACTATCTTTAACAGTGTATAAGTACTGACAGAAAGCTGCAGTGTAGAAAATGTTGGCAGCTATTTAAAATATGAAGGTTTCGGTGAACAGGTGGCAAGTTGGCAGTACTGCACACTACTGCAATTTGATTGGTTGAAAACCCATCCCGGAGCTTTTGCGAAATAGTGATGGGTACTTGTATAAATATGTTAATGAGGGTAGATTTAACAAAATTTATTGTTTATGGTTTTTCTCATACAATTTGTAAAACATTCCGTTTTTGTCTTCTAGTAAACGACGCGGATCACCAACCTGAGCTACAGTACCATTATCTAAAACCAGAACGTTGTCAAAACCCAGTATATACCGAAATTTGTGGGTTATGACGATAACAGTGCTATCCCCAAAACTACTTAAAATTACACTATGTACTACAGTTTCTGTATCAGAATCAACATTCGCTGTAACCTCATCCAAAATTACAACTTTGCTTTTCCGCACAATAGCTCTACACAAACAAACCAATTGTTCTTGCCCACCACTCAATTTTGTATTTTGACCAATTTTATCTTCCAAACTTTGAAACAGTCCTGCCAAATGCACCATTTTCAAAGCTTGCCAAATTTCATCGTCAGAAAACTTCTTCGTAGGATCAATGTTGTCGCGAAGACTTCCTGAAAACAAAGTAGACTCTTGCGAAATTATAAATACGTTGGACCGGAGCAAATCTAAACTAAGGGTAGCTATGTCAACATTGTCAATAAATATGTTTCCTTTGAATCCATATGGACGAAGAAGAAGAGACACCAGTGAAGTTTTCCCGGAAGCAGTTTTTCCAACTATAGCTAATTTTGTCTTCGACCTTACAACAAAATTTAAATCGTTTAATACATTGGTGGTGTCGTAGCCAAAATACACGTGCTGGTAACTTATTTCGCTTTCTGAAGGCCAGTTTGTCACAACCACACCGTTTATATTTTCTTGGTTTTGCTTAGTGTATTGTAGAATTCTCTCAACTGTCGTCATGTAATTTTCGAGTCTGGTCCAAGTACGGCACAAAGCCTCTTGTGTTATGGTAAATATAAATATTTGCAAGAGACCGAGGCCTACATTGTCAGACGATATATCTAAAACGGTAAACATCATTGTCAATCTGCAGCCACATATGAAGTTACCTTGATCTAGAACTAGAAACAAAACAATTGCAAAAGCCCCAAAACACACAGCACATGTGTCAATAGCCAAATGAAAGGCTTTTTCACAAGTCATACACATGTACGAAGACGAAGTATACAAATCCTGGCGGTTATCAAATTCCTCACGTTGAAGATTTTGTTTTTTGGAAATTGTAATAGTCGTCAGTCCCTCCAGAGTTGCGTTAATATGACCAACTAAAGGACTCCGTGCTGAAAAATAGTTCTTGATCAAAAATTTGATTATTGTGGGAGCGTACTTGAAAACTCGAGTCGCTTGAGTGCACGTCCTGTTCTTAAATAAATCGTTCTTAAAATGATGATTATTGCACCAAATGCCAAACACCCGATCAAAAAATACACGTTTATCATGGCTGCTAGAATGATGACTCCTGTTGTTGCTGCAATGGTCTACAACATAAAGTGTAAATTTAGATCGATGAAGCAAACTTACTTTCAACAGTTCGTAGAGTGCACGATGTACGAATTCGTCAAGGTAGAGCATATCTTCCGAAAAGCGATTTAATATGTTCCCAATGAAGTGGCTATTGAAAAATTCTATCGAAGAATTTACAATTTTAGACAACAAAAATTTGTGTATAGATACTGAAGCCTTCTTAGTCAGACACCAGTAAAGAATCGTGTTGGCTATGAAGAGCACAGTTGCCGCTATAATTAAAATGGGAAGAACGTAGATCATTCTTTGTCGATTTTCTAGTGCCTTCGTCGTGGTAGAATTTTTGAAGATAAGTTGTTCAGTTCCACTCCTACAACAATGCCAATTATACCTATCTATGTGATACTAGGGTTTACCAGT